CTGCCATTACCAAGGTAGGGGTTCTGGGGGGTCCCAGCACTGTGGACTGAGCTGTGCCACTGCCAAGGCGGACACCAGGGAGGCAAGTGGGGATCCTGGGAAGAGTCCTAGGGTGGGGTCCCAGTCCCATGGGAAGAGCTGTGGCAGCACCAAGGTTGGGATCGTGGGAGGCAGGTGGGAGTCCTGGTTCCATGGTGTGGCCTTGCTTTCCCACCATAACTCCACATCTCCTACCAGGCCTACCCACCCAGCTCCTTCACGACGAGCCAGCCCGCTGTGCTTGTGATCTGCGGGCCGGGGAACAACGGCGGCGATGGGCTGGTCTGTGCCCGGCACCTGAAGATGTTTGTGAGTCTCTGCACACTCCCCGTGAGGCTGCCAATGCCCATGTGCCCCTGTAACCGCAGGCTTTGGGGTCCTGTTCCTCTGGCTGCTGCTGGTGCCAGAGCAGGATTAGTTCAGGTTCCTCATGCTCTTGTAGGGCTACCTGCCCACCGTGTATTACCCCAAGCGCCCCAGCAAGCCCCTCTTTGAAGGTTTGATCACCCAGTGTGAGAAGATGGACATCCCCTTCCTCCCAGAATTCCCAACTGAGGTGAGGGGCAGCTGCCGGCTCGAGAGCAGGGGGAGCAGTGCCCAAGGCTGCCCTTCACCTGCTGCCATCCCTGCTGCAGGCTGCATTCATTGACGAGCTCTACGGCCTGGTGGTGGATGCAATTTTTGGATTCAGCTTCAAGGGGGCGGTGCGGGAGCCCTTCGGCAGCATCCTCAGCACCCTGGAGCGTGTCACGGTGCCCATCGCCAGCATTGACATCCCCTCGGGTGAGTAACGGCCGCACCCCCTGGAGGAAGGTACCCAGCCAAGGTGGTCCCAGCTCCAGCCCGGCCATGGGGCTCGTTACAGGCTGGGACGTGGAGAAGGGGAAGGCAGACGGCCTCCAGCCCGACATGCTCATCTCGCTCACGGCGCCCAAGAAGGCGGCGACGCACTTTGCTGGGCGGTACCACTTCCTCGGGGGCAGGTTTGTGCCACCTGCGCTGCAGGAGAAATATGCTCTAAACCTGCCAGCATACCCTGGCACGGACTGTGTCCTGCAGCTCACATAGGGCTGGGGCCACAGGGGCTGGGCTCGGCTTCAGTACTGCACATCAGGGCCCAATTCTGCCCAAGCCTCTGCTGGGAGGGTGCTCAGCACCTTGCTGGGCTTCAGCCCAACCCAGCAGGATCAAAGGTCACTGCAGACCAAAGGCCCAGGCGCTGGGAGTGATGGGGGGCTGCTGGGGGGGGCTCTATTTGGGGTTGCTGCCTGATCCAAGCGATCTCTCGCACCACTCACACTTCAGGGTGGTCTCACTGCAATAAAGATTTATTTGTGCCCTTGAAAAAATACTTCAATATGCTGCAGGGTCTGTCCCCTTGTGTCCTTCTGCGACGAGCCCACAGCAAATGGGTCCCTGCCCCAGGGCCTGGGGGGAACTGGGGTCACCCCTGACCAGTGAAGGCTCAGGAGGTGAAATAAAGGTCGATCCAGCTTCAGACCAACCCAGCCCAGCCCAGCATCCCCAGGCTGAGCCACAGTGCTTGGGCTCTGTCTGGGACAAGCCTGGAGCACCCTTGGGCACCCACCAGCACCAGGATCAGAACCCTCACAGCAAGGTGGGACTGGCAGCTGCACAACACGGCAGCCGTGGCACTTACTCACTCTGGCTCCCTCTTCCTTTTCTTCTTTTTTCTCTTCTTCCTGGGGCTGTGTCCCAGGTCTGGCTCACCTGTGCCTTCTAGAGGTATGTCTGTCTCAGCTGGCTCTTCATCCTCCTCCTCCTGCTTCTGTTTCTTCTTTTTCCTCTTTGCAGCTTTCCCCTCCTCTTCTGCCACCTCTTGTTCTGTGTGTGCCTCTGGCTTCTTCCTCCTCTTCATGACTTTCCCCTCCTCTCCTGCCACCTCCTGTTCTGTGCATGCTTCTGGCTTCTTCCTCCTCTTCATGACTTTCCCCTCCTCTTCTGATGCCTCCTCTTCTCCGCATGGCTCTGTGACCTTCTTCCTCATGACCTTCTCTCCCTCTCCCATCAGCTCCTCTTCTCCACTTGGCTCCCAGATCTTCTTTTTCTTCCTCTTCACAACCTTCACTTCTTTTCCTGATACCTCCTCCTCCCCATTTGATTCCTGGCTCTGGGGCACCTCAGGGTCGGCTCTGTCTCTGGATTTTTTCTTTTTCTTCTTCTTTTTGCCCTGGCTCTCTGCCAGGGGGCTGCTCTCTAGGAGCTCCTGCTGCTGCTCCTTGTGCTGGTACATGGCCATGAAGGCTCGTTCCTGCTCCTCCAGGCGCGCCAGCTTGGCACTCATGGTCAGGCCATGACGGGCACCCCTGCAACGACCACAGGCAGTGGGATCTGGCATCTCCCTGGCAGGAAACGTGCCCCCCAGCTCGGCCATGCAGCCCCCCCAGCCACTCACTTGTGTGCCGTGCGGCCCCCACACGCCTGCACCAGCTCCTCGTCCGTCAGCCTGCGGGACACAGAGAGGACGTGTCACCCCCCAGCAGTGTGGCAGGGGCACGGTTCAGACCGGGGCTGCCCCTCGCAGCCCTCATCCCTCCTCATCGTGGAGATGGGGCTCAGCCTTGCCTCCTGGCTGAAGAGAGGTCCAGCTTCTCCTCCTCCTCCTCGCTGCTCTCGGAGCCAGTGGGCAGCGTCAGGGACTCCTCCCCACAGGCTGTGAGTGTGGCCGACTGCACCAGGGAAACAGAGGGGCCGTGAGGAAGGGGGACACAGCAGCAATAGGCTGGGGGCTGTGCTGCAAGGGGGGTGCAGAGCTCTCCACAACCTTTGCAGAGACACCAGCTGCTCTCTGAGCTGCATCCCAGGGCCAGTTACCTTCACGAAGCGGCCGTACAGCAGGTCCCTGGTGCCACCGGCCTTGCGCGGCTTCTTATTGCTGATCCCGCCTCCCTGCTCAGAAAGCGCCTTCACGGAGATGCCATCCTGGAGGGGAGAGACAAAGGGCTCGGGAACGATCTGTCCAAGGGGCTTCACCCCTCTAGCAGCACGTCTCTGCCACCACGGTCCCTGTGCTGAGAGGGGCTGCGGGGACACACACAGAGCGGCAGCACAAGGACCACCAAAGGGACCCCAACCCCCTCCCCCGCTTTCCACCCTTGTCTGAGCAGGGTGCCCTCCAGCCCTCCCACCTGCCCGGCCTCCACAGCGATGTTGGCAGCCGCCTTGTTGAAGACGTGTTCCCACCAGTGGAAGGTGAAGGGCTCCGCCGCGTCGTGTCCCACCTGCGGGGTGCAGAGGAGCCGCCGGAATGACTGCGGCGGGCGGTGGGCGCGGGGCCCCGGCCGGGCAGGGGGGCTGCACTCACCCCCGCCGTGTCACACTTCACCTTCACCCGGATGGCCTCGGCGATGCCGTCCTGCCGTTTGCCCAGCCCCTGCCCTGCCGACACAGCCACTCATCACCCGCCGCCGGGGAGGGCTGGGGACCACCGGGGGCTGGGGTGGGGAGCTGGGGCCTGGAGGGTCCCGGGGCTCGGGCGTAGCTGGGTACTGGAGGGA